GATGGGGTAAAAGCCAAAGGGGAGAGGGACCCTCTTCCTCCCACCCAGAAGAAAACCACCCAACCCTTGCTGGAAAGCTCAACTGGCTGCATGTGTGGAGAGGTTCCAGAATTACTCCAAAGATCACATCTGACTCTCTAGCTGCTGGCTGCAAGCTGAGCTACCCTCTTGACATTTAGCTACTTAGAATGGAAAGTGAGCTTCCTGCAAGCAGAGCACTCTAGACTCCATCCTAAGAAGCTGCTTTCAGGACCTGCTGAGAGCCACTAATGATGCCTACTTAAGGCAATCCCTTATTCATATCTGCTCCATCTGTGTTCTCAGCTCAGCTGGAACAGCTCCTTATGTCTATAAAATTAAATTGGAATACTTTTGAATCTCATTCTGAACCAATCAGCCCAACTGGGATTTGGCCTCAAAACTAGACCTGCCGTCTCTTATAGCAACCTTCTCCAACGCAATGCTCTTCAGAATCAGTGAACGTCTCCCACCTTGGCAGATGCTGGTTTGGAATGAAGAAGTCATTGTATATTCACAGGGCAAAAGGTTGGTAGAGGGCATCTTAAAAGAGCACATGGGCCTTTTCAGAAATAAGCAACTACCTACACCTAGCATCCCACTTTCTAGGATAGCCCATCCACGGTTTTCAGAAATCCACAAACAGGTTGCAAAAGGATTTTTGCTTTCACTGCTCAGCAACTGATATTCTTAAGGATTTCCTGGGATAACAATAGCCCAGGTTCGTTCTGTGGAATTGGTGTTGGGTCTTTTTCCATCAGCCAGTACTTCCCAAGAAGCTTCCAATCTCCAAACAACCCCACAGAATTCAAATTCCACAGACTGACTGACTGACTGACTGACTGACTGACTGACTGACTGACTGTCTGTCTGTTTGTCTATCTATCTATCTCTGTCTGTCTGTCTGTCTATCAATCAATCAAATTTCTCACCCGCCTATCTCCCCCCAATGGGGGAACTCTGGGTGACTCACACCGAACATTAAAAACATATATAAATACATAAAACATCAGTTTAAAATACTGCAAGCCAATTGCCACTTCTGCACTGAGGAAGCCTTGCTGGAACACAAGGCAAAGATTCTGCAAAAAATGCAATCTCTACTTCAGGACAGATCACCCTAAGCCCAGAGAAGCCCAACTAAAAGGATGTACAATTTATATTCTGTGGCAAACAACCTCAGAGCCCAGGATGGCATATAAGTTCCATCCATGCAAATGACTAAACTCCAAAGAAGAGAAAGATAAACTTGTTTCTGATATTCAGTTTAGTTCATTTTCATTACAATCATTATCCAAAACATTAACTGATCATGAACTCCTGAAGCAACTTGCAGACAACTCAAACAAGAATGTGCAACCTCTTTTGTACTGGGGAAATGTATTATTTAGGTTAAAAGTATATGCCATTAAAATTAAAGTTAATTAAATATCATTTCTAGGATTCCTCTCAATGTATTTAGTAATTTTCTTCCTCTGCCACCTTCAGAATTACAAATCAGCAACCACTTTTCAAGGGACTGGAAGGAAACACAACTTTCATGCTCTCCCTTGAGCCAGAACAGAAATAGGCAATCTTTTCCAGCTGGGAGTGATATTACGATGTAGCCAAAGTAAAAATATCTGGTTTGAGAGCTTTGGGGAAAGTTTTAATGGGCAAAATGGGTTCCCTATGCTTTACTGAGGGCTTCATTTGCCAAGGGATCAACTTTGTACTTTAAATGCCAAAGATGTTGCAGGTAGTTGCAATTTTAGGGGTCAAAGTGTCCATACCAAAAAAAAAGTTGAAAAAGTTTGGTCTTGCCCATTCTAGGAGCCCAAAGGGATGCTCAGAGGGAGAGATCATATGTAACTTGTGGTTTCCACCCAATCAGGAAGATGAAGCAGTCAGATCCCTTTGAATGTTTTTCTTCAACTCAATTTCCTTCCCTCCCTCATTCCTAACTTGCCTGGTTCAGTTGCTCTTTGAGCTGGTCCTCCGTAAGGCCCAACGACCTCATTCCTCTTGCTCTGCATGCACTTTGCAGCTCAGACACACTCAAGCCATTAACACCTTCCTTGGCTATCATCTACAGGCAGCAAAGAGCAGAAATCAGAATCATGTAGAACATTTCAAAATCAAGGCTCCCATCGCATTCAGCCATTTTTCCAGTGGCAGTAAAAGAGAAATACGAATCTTCTGGGAACTACATCGGTAGTCTGGTGACACCTTTTCCGTCTAACAAATTTTATTAAAAGGCATAAGCTCACAAAAGATCTCAAAAGGTGCTACCAGACTTCTATTCTTTTTTTTTTGGCCACAATAGACTAGCATGGCTCTCCTCATACAATATCTTCTGGGAATGTGAATGCTTAGGCATGATTTAAAAAAAAAAAAACAAATTCCTTTCTTTTTCTTTAAATATTTATAGCCCACCTTGCATCAGGATGAGAATACCATCAATAAAAACAATAAAATAACTAGGAATTAAACCCACACATTTTAAAAAGTATACCAATTGAGCATCTTCACTGAGTCCCAAAAGTTCATGTGAATAGTCAAAATAAAAAGAAACCCTTACTTGAAACACTAAGAAGGCCCTTTTTTCCTCCTTCACATAACGTACAGCTCTTAATGAAGGAATTCGGAGGAAATGCTTGGGCAGAATTTAATACTGCAGAGCTTAATATTCTGGAAGTATCCAATATATATCAGATACTGGAATGTCCATGCTAGAATCCAATGCCTTTCATGCTGGAATAAAAAGGTTCTTCAATAATGCTTTTGTTAGCAAGCTACTTTACTACATTAGTGGAAATTTCCTCCATACTCTCTTCAAGGAAAGCTCCATGCATAGAGAATAAGCTAAACAGAAATTTCCCCCATTGTAGGAGTTACTGCAGTTAGGTGATCAAAACCCCTCAAAGCCACCTGAGTTTCCAGAAACAAAACTGACTCTAAGAGTAGAAGCTTGGTTCTTTCAGGGGGAGTGCAATTTCATTCAGAGCAGGACATTTATCTCTCAGAATCTCCATCTCATTGGGTTTCCACTTATTTGCCCATCTAATCCATTTCAGCCTCCATGTACACAGCCCCTTCTGTTTCTGATGATACGAAGAAATAGAACTGAGGTACCCTTCTCAAAATTCATCTAGATGCTAACTAAACAGGATAAATCAGATCTCACGGGCTGTCCACATCATAACAGCTATGGAATGGGGGAAAAAACCTTCAGTAACATTTCTGGAATTGTAAGAATTGTAATTCTAAAAGTAAAGAGAGGAACCACTGTGCCCCTCAATTCCCCCATCATAGAGCTGGTTTACTAAGAGAGTGGTTAATGATAGCAAAAGCTACTGAGACATCTAGGGAATCCAAGAAGATTGCATTTTCTGCTTCTCTTCCATGAAGCAGATCATCTGTGAAGGCAACTAAGGCTGTTGCCAGGTTAATCCCAGTCTCAAATCCTACTAGAACAGGTCTGGATAATCTGTTCTTGCCAATAACATCTGAAACTTACCAAACATCATTCTCTTGACTAGCTTACCCAAAATTTAAAGAGAGCTTTCTTTTTAACAACAAAGTTTTTAAATTGCATAATATAGTTTTGCTTCATGAAATGTGCACATTTCCAGGAACGCTCAGAAGGCACATAGGCTGACATTTTAGTTCTGTACGTGTTTTAAGCAATCGATTGGTTAAAAGGTAGAAGACTGATTAATTAACAGTATTCTGTTAGATTATGAGACTAGTTTTAATCATCCCAATGCAAGCACATCAAATAAATCAACGAAAATTTACAAACTGCTTCGGTGGCCATAGTTGACGAGGAAGGAAACATAATCAAAATACCTTGGCTGGTTCAGTCTAATAATACTAAATCAATCTCACAGAATCCTTAGACAGGCTAATTAATTAGGGTTAAGAGCCTTCAGATTCAATGGACTGTATTTTCATTTTTACATGAAAACTTTCCTGGCTGAAATTTTCTCTCTTGCAGCATCTGCCTTGATATCAAACCTCTTTCTCCTACTTTATTTCTTTGTATCATTTGTTAAGCAAATTTCCTAATTAGCACCCTTCATATTTCCTCTTGCTGCAACTAGTACCATTGTTCTAAAATCAGAGAAGTTTGTTTGTGTCAAGTTTTTGGCTCCCAAGATTTTCATGGAGTTTTCTTTAATGTTTATTGAAAAGAAATGGAATAAGGTTACAGAAATCTCAGCAACTATATTGCTTTCAATTTAGAACCTAATTCATCTATTAGCTTCTTAAGGTGGAGACTTTTTCAGGTTTGATTTGATTGGTTTTTACAAACAGATTATCTGTGAAAGGTGAGGATGCTAATCAATTTGCTGATAAGCGAGGAATGTATAGATGATCAAAAGTAAATATCTCATTTACAGTAAGGATCTCATTAGACCAAAAGGCTAGCTTAGAAGATGCTGGACAGCCACCACTCATGGATGGTTTATTTGGCCTTCCTGCACATACAGAAAGTCAGACTAGATTATCCTTGTGGTCTCTTTCCAACTCCACAAATTTATGATTCTAAATTACTGATCCAAAACATCAATAACCTACCCCTTCAGAGAACTGCCTACAGATATCAACATACAGCTCCAATATCCAGTTGCAGCTACAGTATTAATTTTCACTGTTTGGACACACATGCTTTCAAACTTGCCATTTTGCTGGAGACTCTGGTTCAAGTCAACAGTGACCAGGGGGCTCTGGGCCAGTCATAGTCTTTCAGCCTAACCTACCACCCAGGGCTGTTTTCATGGGGTTAAAATTAGGAGAGATCCTTAAACTGAGAAAAGTGAAACAATTACACAGCACATCAAATAACTAGATTAAAGGAGAGATTTCCCAGCTCTTGGTGAAAGACAGGTGGCATCTCTTTACCTCATCATCAGCTTTGATAGATCTAAGCTTCATCAAAAGCTGGAAGCGGAGGAGATTGTTGGTGCCAATGGGCTGCAACTCAAGCAGTTTGCAAAGGATGACCAGTTGTGGCCGCTCCAAGTGTTCCAGGGTCAGCTCATCCTCAAACAGTTTGGAAAACTGCACAATTTCCTGGGTGCTGGGTTGTTGGCCACTATGTCGAACCTAAACACAATAATAAATTAGGACTCCAGAATCTGTCTCCCCCAAACCCAATGCTGGTTTTCTTTATAATGAGGCTGCTTAAATTAAAGAATTCTCCTCACTAAGAGAGAAGCTTGGTACCATCATTTTATCTCAAGACAGCAAGCAAAATCTATCCTGTCTGCCAGTGATTTTAATGATATTTGACACCCTTTAATATTTTTCTCTCTCCTTTAATCTTTTGCTTTATATTGCTTTTCAGTATTTTGCATTTTCGCTGGTTTTATTACTGTCACAGGAAACCTTGAGGCTATCGGCAGCAAAAAGATAGGCTATAAAATCCATACATTTTCTTTATTTGGATTTATTTTTATTTTTTCAGCCTTGTCCAAAAAACTTAAATGAAGATGCACGGTTCCTTAGAGATGCATTCATTTAAAATTATAAGCCCCCTACAGTGATGTAAAATTACTGAACACAATCCTACAATAATAATAATTCTGACATCAAATTGACAATTTGAAACCACATAACATAATTCTCCACTTCAGAGTATAAGCTTATAGATAAGACATAAAATCAGTGCATCGATTTAGACTGCATAAAACTCTTGAGAGGGTTATTTTTTATATTTCAAAGTTTTGTTTATATAAGCAAAGTTCTATCTTCTGGAAGACTTTTGAATCTTATCAACATTCTTTAAATGAAACACAGAGCTCTAGAGCTCCAGCTTTTCAATTCACTCAGGAACGCGTACCTTCTGAACGTAGGAAGAGAACAGCTGGGTGGCGGCTCCTGTATTGGCTTTGTTCCTTCTGGCCAACTCTGCAATAGTCTCCTGCAAGAATTTGGCTAGCTCCAACTTGGCGCTCAGTTTCTTCCTCTGCTTTTCTTCCTTAGTACAAAGAGCAATTAAAAAGATAAGGAATTACCTCACAAAGAGGTGAGTCGCTTGCCGTTCTTGGCAAAAGTAAAGCTCTACTCTTCACTGTACTACTTGCTGGGAAAGGAAAAAGAATATTCTAAAGAAAGAGTTTAAAAAGGTATCAGAAAAGAAGAAGGGAAAACCAAAGAGCCAACAGGGATTCCCATCCATTCTGGGCTATGCTCCCACTTATTCTCCACTTCAGACCCATCCATCAGATAGAGTCAAATGGTACATCTTCAAGGCAATGCGTCTTTTCATGATACCGTCCCCCACATCCTCCAATGATTTAAGATGTTTAAAACCATTCCAGGTCCTCTTTGCAACAGTATTTGCCAGTATCATCATACACTCCCTTGCTGTTCTTCTCAGGCTATTTTTCATAGCTTTAATTTAAAGGAGTCAGGGACTGGGTCAGCCTCCTGTAAGCAATGGTTCTGAACAACAACCTCCCTTTAAGGATGATGAAAACAGTAATCAAAAACAGTTGGGAGGCATCTACTTGCAAAAGAAGGCAGGCAATAATGTGACCAGTTTTGTCCTATTTGGGATGCGTCAGATGTAGGTAAGCAGACGTTATCCTCTACCAGGGACAGATCTCATGGACCCATGTCCTTCAGATGACAACACAGAGCATTAGCTTTAAGAGCTATTCAGATGCTAGGCTGAGCACTTACAGAAAGGGATGTACAGAATTTATCAGAATGGAATACACAGTCCACCCTCCCTTAAGCTCTCAGAGCAGATAGATATGGATGTTATATTAAACATCCACAAGACCCACACTGTGTAAAAATAGAGATACGTTCCCCCCTTGCAAAACCCTGTAAATGGGGGCATGACATAGGTAATATCCCGTATCTCTCTGCTCTGAGAGCTTAAGAGAAGGTGGAATCTATAGGCCGTTCTGATATATTCTAATTGCAAAGTATCTCTAGGATTTTTAAAGAATCTCTCATGCAAATCCTTACAAATGGCAGAGCAAGTTCATTCTGCTGTATGTTAATCTCTTGGCTACACTAGCGCAGAGTGTTTATTTTGTTTTCCTTTTATTCCACCCTTCTTCCATGCTGCTTGAGGGAGTGTGCATTATTTGTCTTGCACCATCTCTGTCTATTCTGAGGTAGGTCAGAGAAAGAGAAGAAATGAACCAAAATTAGTTAAGAGCTTTGTATCTTACTGAGGGTTTGAACATAGGTCATCCTAGGTTCCTGCCTTCCTCCACTGCTTGCAGAGATTAATTCCTCTAGTCATGTAGATTTGTATCGGTGCTAGAGGTAAAGAACGCCTAAGGTATAGGCACCATGACATAGTTTGACACACAGACTAAGCGTTTTTAAAATTTTAAAAAAACACTGACCTTTTTAGATTCAGTTTCAAAGGTTGAAGGCAACATCTCAGGAAAGAGTTTAAGAAATACAGGTAACAGGAATTCCATGAAGGGTACTATGATGAACACCAAGAAAGGAACCAACCGGAAAAGATCTGCTGATGTTCTCATCAACTGCAGAAACAGAAACACAAGCCAAAATGTTACACTGTTCATATATTGCCCTAAGGCATGGTTAATTGCAAACATGTTTCAATAAGCCACAATACTGAGATCATATAGCATTACTAAGCCAAAACTAAGTAAACCAAATTATAGCTTACAACCATCCCTGAACCTATCTTCTCTTCACTAAAAGGGTGAGGAGAAGTCTTGCTCCAAGGCAAGTACTTCACCAAATTAATTTCAGTGTGCCAGAATTTCATGCGCAGAAATGCCTGCTAGCCTACATCCCTGTATATTTTAAGAAATAAGTCAAATGATTTTGTTCAAAAACTTTTCTTTTCTGTACATGAGAAAGTGGGGACGGGGTTCAGCGCTCTCTTACGCTATTATATATTACTGCAGTCAAACATTTGGGTGCCTGTCATAGAGAGAGACACTCTCTTATACTATGCAGCAAGTCAGAGATAGGTGGGACACACGAGTTACCAGCGAGTGGAAGATTGGGATTCCAAATTCACATCTGGAAGAAAATACAGCACCAATGAATGAGCATTACATTCTGAAGCATGATCAAACTCTGCTTGCGAATCCCAGGACAAATGACTTGGCAAACCGATTGCTGGGCCAGATGCTTTGCTCTTATCAGGGGAATGAACCAGAATGTAGAAGCAGCAAAAACAAAATGCCTGCCTGTCCCTTATTCAGCCCGTGAATAGACTGAGTGGTAAAGTCACCTTATTTCAGATTGGTTTGCTTTGTCCAGCGAATAAGAATCCGCTGCTGCATACTGTCCATTCAAGAGGAAGCAATTAGTCACGCGCAGTGGATAGTTTGCTAGCTGTTCCCCAAAGTCAGCCAATGCTCACCCTTCGTCTCTCCCGCCTGGTGAGGACTTGCCCGTGTAACAGTCTCCAGACCATCCGAGCAGCTACTTTCGTGTCAATCCAAAGCAAATGGAATCCATTGTAATAGTGCCTCAGTTCATCTACAATCCTCTGCCATAGCGATCTCCTGACAGTCTCTGCGGCTTTGTCTGGAGCACTGGCCACACTGTGGTCTGTTTTTACAGTACTCGGCTCAGGGCGAGGTTTGTCCTGATGCCAATAAGCTGACGTGTGAAACATCTGCATGGGCCTAATCAGCAAGTGAGGCCATCCGTTTCCCTGCTGTGAACTGGAGAGGAGCTGATGGCTTTCAGAGTCCTTCAGGAATGTTCCGTTATGGTGGGAATCCACCAGTTGAGCAAGTGCAGCTGATGAGGAGAATAGGGAACAACAGGAGTGCACAAGCAGGCATGATCCCCTGGAAGAGAAAGAGTCTGAATCATTAGTGCCACCAAAGGTTTGGCCTGGTAAGAGACACATTTTGCAAGGCATTGATCGTGAACCCTATTACTGAAATCAAGAGGAGTCTGGTAGCACCTTCTCAGACTAAGACATTTTATTCCCAAAGACATTATGACCTGCAGCTTATTTCATCAGATGCACTGTAGTGGCTAAACCAATGCAGGACTGAACCTGGGAGGAGGCCGGGGGCGGGGGGGGAAGGGGAAGACAAAGCAGTTATGCAGATGTAGATTACATGGGAGGCATGCCAGGTTAAGGAATGCATTTCTTAACCCCAGCCATAGCTACTGTATTTACCATTCTTGAACTGGATACACGTTGGGGTTATAATTTCTCCTTTGTGCTCCAGTGCTATTTTATCAATCATAGAAGTTCCAGATGACTGAGGAAATTATGGATTTTTTATTATTAAAACCAGACAATATAATGTAGGTGTATATCTATATCTATATCTATACACACACATACATGCATACACACACACACACACACTTCACAAAAAGTAAAACCACGCAGATGAATGCTATCCATGCTCCAGTGATGAACAAAAGCAATAAAAAAATACATTTGATATTGCTTCTCTGACATTCTTTACCATTAAACTTAAATCAATACAACTAAGTCTTTTACACTGTCTACAGAATGTTTCATATAATGCCATGCAATTTTGACTGAGGCTAGTAATTAGATTAAAAAAACTCATGAACTTCCTCCAGGGGTAGATCTTATGTATGACCCACATCACTACTGCTGCTTGGGGTGAAGTTCAAAAATATAATGACATAATTCACAGAATTCAAGATTTCATTTCTTACCTGGTCCTAGCTACTGCAAGGAATATGTTACAGCTGTAGATGGCCATGTTTTGCCTGAAA